CCACTAGTTGCACCACGGTGGCTCACGGGCCCCCCGTACCCCCCCTGTTGCCACTAGTTGCAATCCACTAGCTGCTAAAGTCTCTTTTTCTAGTTGATCCCATTCTCGATCATCGCCGCTTTCTCAGCCCTGTTAGCTCTATGCATCCGAGCGTTGACGATCGACGGATTGCCAGAGGTTCTTCAAGTCTTTTGGAAAGCGACCGATTGGAGGAAATTGGAGGATTATACGGTAAAAAAGAAATAGAATCCATTTAAAGTTTAACCATTCAGGTATGGGCTTTAGCCGGCGAGCAAGCTATTATGGCTTGCGGGGTCGGCTTCGGCGCTTTTATCACAATGGGCAGCTACAGTAAAAGGAGCAACAACCTTGTTGCGTGAGTTTCTTGACATCGACATTTATTGACATCTAGTTTTGCTGAATTTTGATCTATTCCTGAAGTTAGTTAGATCTTCTAGATGCCTCTAGATGCCTCTAGATGCTTCTAGATGCCTCTAGATGCTTCTAGATGCCTTTAGATGCCTCTAGATGCTTCTAGATGCTTCTAGATGCCTCTAGATGCTTCTAGATGCCTTTAGATGCTTCTAGATGCCTTTAGATGCCTCTAGATGCTTCTAGAAGCATCTAGAAGCATCTAGAAGCCTCTAGATGCTTCTAGATGCCTTTAGATGCCTCTAGATGCCTCTAGTTGCTTCTAGATGCCTCTAGATGCTTCTAGATGCCTCTAGATGCTTCTAGATGATCTTAAAGATGCCTGAAAGCTCTAAATCTTTCCCTAAACTTTCATCGACTCAATTTCCTTTTTAGTGACTCGGTGCTCATCGTTTTTGCTCACATCGTTTTCTCGCTTATGCAGGTAAAAAAGTGAAGGGATTTTTGTGCTCAAAAGTGTAAACACATCCTTTCTAGTGCACTGAATTCTTTAATTTCCTTTTGCAAACAATCAGTTAGAGAAAAGTGAAGAAATCAATGCACCAGAAAGGGTTTGTTTACAGTTTTAAGCGATAGTTAGATTTGATTTGAAATCATAATTATTTGCATAAACATTTCGGCGGTTTTTGGATAATAAAAAACTGAAATCTCTTAAAATATAATATAGCTATGGTATTTAAAAGAAATAAAAATCAAAGTTTAAACATTGAGTGGCACTAAGAGGGATCGAACCCGGATCGTGTGAGCTGTAGAAATGTGCGCTCCCCACTGCGCTACGACGACCATTCGTCGCCGTGAAAAAAACAACTATATAAACCGCTCGTTAAGTGGATTTTTAATTATAAGATACCAGCCGAAAACCGGCTAATGACGGGTTTATCTAGTTGTTTTTTGGGGGCCGGAATGCTCGTCGTGGCGCAATCGGGAGCACGCATTTCTACAGGCCGCGCGGCCCGGGTTCGACTCCCCCTAGTGCCACTCAATCTTAAAATTCACCGCCTTTTGGCCCAAAGACGATAGAAAATGCCCGTACAGATAGATCAGATCACAGAATTTCTGAATTTTATAGGCTCTAATCGATTCTACAGGGTGACCAAGAATTACCGCAACAACTTTTCGGACAAGTATCTGGGAAATGTCTAATTTATTTCAAAAGTGGCAATTCTCGTTGGCCTAATTCTCGGCAACATTTATCTTCCAAAAACATCTCGATTGGACTTATACAACTCGTTTAAGAAGCGCTTGAATGAGCGCTAGTCGACATCTCTCCGGCGAATCTGTCATTTGGCCACTTTTCTCTATTAAAAATTGTTAAGAAAAGTGTGATTCCTAATGTTATTAAGTGATATTAAACGCTATTCTTGCATTGAAGAAATATTGAAAACCTTTTCTTAACAATTTTTAATAGAGAAAAGTGGCCAAATGACAGATTCGCCGGAGAGATGTCGACTAGCGCTCATTCAAGCGCTTGTTAAATGAGTTGTATAAGTCCAATCGGGATGTTTTTGGTAGATAAATGTTGCCGAGAATTAGGCCTACAATTCTCTGTATAACACTTGCCACTTTTGAAATAAATTAGACATTTCCCAGATACTTGTCCGAAAAGTTGTTGCGGGAATTCTTGGTCACCCTGTAGAATCGATTAGAGCCTATAAAATTCAGAAATTCTGTGAAAGCATTTCCCTAAACCTGTACCTAAACCCGTATCTTAAGCTGTACCTTAACCTGTACCTTTTCAGGTAGCCACCGTGATCGGTTTGGTTGGCTATGTGTCGGTGAAGAGCGGTTTGCCGCCGAGTGAACTCATGGTGAAGGGTGAGTTTTAATCTAGTAATCAAAAAAAAACGATTGTTAACTAGATTCTAGCTTTTCTAGCTTTTCTAGCTTTTCTAGATTTCCTAGCTTTTCTAGATTTCAATGATTTCCAGGCGAAGAGCAGCTCTACTACCTCTTGGCCTACTTCTCGCACCTCCCACAAACCGTTCTCTGGTCTGGCATTCTTCTCTTCTCCTCAATCTTCATTCTCTACAACATTTTCGTGAGTCTTAGAATCTAAGAATTAGAATCTAAAGAATCTAATGATAAAATATCATATAAAATTAGAAAATTAGAAAATTAGAAAATCGAAATTAGAAAACAAATCAAAAAAAAATGTTGTTTAATAAAATACTCAAAAATCTCTAGTTCAGAATTTTACAAAGTAAGAATGCAATCAGCTACGATTTTCCCCCATTGTAATCTTTCTTTTTTAGGCTCTCCTTTCTCTATCTATTCTCTCAACATTGGAGGATGCGCTCGGGGAAAAGTGGGAAAATTTTTCATCAAATAAAACCCCAAAATTCAGAGCCTCAAAATGTTTTCCGCGTTTTCTTTTGGCGTTTTTCGTGTGCAGCCTCGTGATGGCGTGTAGTCTCTATTTCACGACACAGGTAAATCATCTGAAGTTTTTAAAAACAGTAAAGAAGCTCTGAAATGAATGATCGAAATGCTGAGACTTACAATGATAAGGGAAAGGAGAGTCAAGCTGGCCTTTTGACTCGAAACCAAGCTACTGATCAGCTACTGATCAGCTACTGATCAGCTATTGATCAGCTACTAAGTCTCAGCATGTGATACTCAAAACTTGTGAATCTTCTACTAGGACAATGAGTATGCCAATCTAGGCGGGTCGTCACGCGTACGAATTAGCCGTTGGATCGCTGCGCTACGTCACACTGTGGTCGATTCTCGCAGCCGAGCTTTTGGCGGTGGCCTGGATTTACTGTAAGTCGTATGTTCATGTGCACTTTGTGTCTGACCTGGTCTTACTGCAAGCTTAGTGCTGAGTTTGGCACTGCCAGCCAGTGCTGAATCTGAGCTTCAGTTTTAAAGGCTTTACATTTAGAAAGACTTCTGGTTACAAATCGATCTTTAAAACCTCTTCATTCAGGTGGCCACCGTTTGGGAAATGATCTCCACTTCATGTTATCTCCGTCTTGTTGCTGGTGTCTCGGCCATTTCCTTCTTTTCTTCACCTACTTGCTGCCAATTGTTCCCATCGTGAGTTTCAGATTTCAGATTTCAAATTTCAAACGTTTTCAAACGTTCAAACGTTCAAATCCCAAATTCCAGGGTATCGCTTTCGTGAACGTGAGCGGTTACGATTTCTCGCGTTATTCGCCGGCCATCCACGCTTGGCCATGGAGTGAATGGGTGGGAGCGGCTCTCGCGTTGATCCCCGTTGTGCCGATTCCTCTCTACGCGATTCTCACCTTTTTCATCGCTTGCTGTTGTGCGAATAAACACGAGAGTAAGAAAGCGGTGAGTGAAAGAGAATTGCTTCAACAAAGTCGTTGCTTCAACATCGATTGTTACACGGTCACATATACAAATCCCTAAAAGAGTGCAAAAGCTTGGATCGGTTTCTCAATAATATTAAGCTGTTCAAAAAGTCTTTTCGTTCCTTTTCTTATTTCCGTTTAAAACCAACAAATGCACCAATTGAACTATGGTTTGTTTGTTTTTTGCTTCACTCCTGTAAAACGGAAAGTTGCGTAGTCACGTACTAAGTGACTTTCCGTCTGACACAGATCAGATATACTTGCAAAAGTTTCAAAAAATGTTCTTGCTCATCTTGAAGACTTGCAAAGCAATGGTCCTCATAGAATGTGTTTGTTTTCTAAATGTAAATGGTAAAAACTATCTCCTTGAGCTTTTCGTAACTCGAATGAAAATTGAACATTCAAGTCTTTTTTAATCCAAAAGATTACCGTTAAGTCCCGCCGTTGAGTCCCTTAAGTCCCGCCGTTGAGTCCGTTAAGTCCCGCAGTTGAGTCCCTTAAGTCCGTTAAGTCCCACCGCGTTAAGTCCTATAAAATAAGAACCTTTGTCTTTAACTAGAGAATCACAGAACTTACAGATTGCTCCTAAAAAATCCAATTCTAGAGAGTAGCCGAAGTTGTTCGTCACCGTGTTCGCCGTTTCTCATCTGAACGTTCAGCGTTGGGCGGGCGAGATACAGTTGGAGGTCTTCACGCCCCACCTCGTTACTCATCAGCCGCTCCCGGATATCTTCTCCTCCCACAGGCGCCCCTTGCCGAACCGGAGCCCTTCAATGAGGTGGAAACTAAAAAATATCTAAATCAAAAATATTTTCAAAGAAAACCCTCATTTAGTGGTATCAATTGGATGATGAGTTTACATACGAATAAGTTTTCCGACACAGGTGTTTAGTGTACATTTTTCCCTCTTGAGCACACGTTTTTGACTCTTGTAGCTACACATTTTGTTTTTATGCAGTGAAATCCTTTTGAAAATATTCAATGAATTTTCAGGGACGCTAAAGATTCAACTCGGCGACAAAGCTCTAGTCGAAGAAAATTGTTGCTGCCGGTGAAAATTTTGATGGCTTTTGTAGAACTTTCTTCTTGTCCAATGTGATCTTTCGATCGCTATCTTCATTTGGAAATACGGTTATTGCATTTTGAATTTGTTTTTGCCATTTCTTTTGACAAGGTGCAAATGCTTTTGAAATTAATAATTAAATCCCCAAAATTTTACTAGTTTCTTTCGTTGAGTGCTACTGATTACCTCATTTTCACATTCGTTTGCTTTTTCTTCGATTTGAATTGTATAAAGTTCTAAAATTTTATAAACTCAACAATCAAAATAACAAAGCAACAAAAAACAACAAACAGAACAGTTACTTTTTTCCCTCGTTTGTTTCCCGTACTTGGTCTTGATTCATTCGGGTTCTTCGATCTAAAGGCAAGAAAGTATAAAATTACTTGATTCGATAAATAAGTTTAACTTCCTAGCAAAGTGAAAAGCTCAAAATTCTACCTCTGTTGTCGATGAATTTGTACACCGACACCAAGCATAGCACTGCGACTTGTGGTGTCTCTCATCGAGAACGGGCTATCATCAAACTGCTTTGTACGGCATTTAGCGACGCGTTGATCAGGCATACGTTGGTCCTAAATATTTTTAAGTAATTAAATATTTACAAACAAAAGTTACCTCAACAATTTTCTCCACAGCCGCATGCTTTCCACCTTTAGGAGCGGCCATACTAAATGATTAGAGTAAATTAACTGAAAATCAAAACAACCTGTATTTTAGTCCTCGAAGATTAGTCAAGCGTCTCCAATTCAGATGTAGTTGTTGCTTTCCATCTTTATCTATCGAAACGGCACACTAAAATTACTTCTTTTTTTGAAAAAGCATTTTAAAGCCTTACCTTATGCAGTGTTTTGTTACCGCATTTTGCGCAAAACTCTTTTTCCATGTTGGATGTAGTGTTGAAACAAGATCGGCAACGGAGTACATATGTTTGGATCTTCTTAATGCGATAGCCAGTAAGTGAGATCAACTCTCAAATAAAATAAAAATTAAACTTAAAGGAAAGAAATCTTACGAACCGAGATGCATATGTAGCAAAACGTTTTGAACGGCAAAATCTGTCGTGATACAACCAACTTCCGTACCTTCAGATACCTGAATTTTGAATAAGAAAATAGCACATATTCTCAAACCTCTATTGCTCCCATTTTGTTTAAAGCCGTATCTATCGATTCAGGAGTCATCCAACCCTCCTCATCAGAGCTGTCGGCCTAAAATATTAACACTCTTACAAGATTACAAGAAGTGATTACACACTCACATTTGCGCAAAAGCCTTCGGGGAGATCTCCTTTTTCGAAAACTTGTCCTTGCTCTTCGTGATCACCGTCTTCAACTTCTTCCTAAAGAAATAATAATAGAATAAAAAAGGCAAAGTTACCTCTGAAGTATTTGGTGCTTCCAAATGCAAATCCTTGACTTTATTTTCGACCTAAATGTACAAAGATTCAGAACAAAATTCCTCAAAGTTTCAAATCAAGATTTTTAAAAAATAACCTCTTCCATTGTAAGATCTTTAGAAGCTACTTCAGTGCTTCCACCACAGTGTTGTTTCCATAGGTCCAAAGTGAGAGCCAAAACCTAAACAAATTTCATATACAATATTTTATGCAAAAGATATTGTATTCATTATTTAAGAAGTAAAATTTTTTAAACAAGCCCTACCGTTAGATCCACAGCCGATAACTCTGGGTAATTTCCAGTCTTTTTTGATTCCTCGACAACTGAAGGAAAAAAAAATAAAACTGATCAAAAAGCATCAAAACCTTTTGCCATCGATTCACTCGATGGATCACGCCATACAATTTCGAAGGGGAAGGTGTCGATTTTGATTCGACTCCTTTGACATCTCGCTTCGGCCAGAACTCCCGGTGGCGCGTAGAACTTCTCGGCGATATTCTAGATCAAATAATTATTTCACACATAACAAAAAATTTACACAAGAAAAGCACTAGTTTATACGTTTCAATCCATTTTATTAAAGGCTTACATGCAGTTCAACAGGATGAATCAAAGCGTTTGTGTCGATCACCAGATGTTGAACGGGCTTTTTCATCTTAAAAACGACGTGATAGACCAGCAATTATGAATCTAATGCAATTTATTCCGAGTATGTTTTGGCTTCGCTTCCAAACTTTCACAATTTCTTTCTTGTAGCAAAAAATTTATTTCAAACAAGAAAATAACAAACAAAAACAGAACAACTATCAAATCTAAATTCTAACCTTGGCAAAAAACAATTTCAAGAAACATAAAGAAAAACAAAAATTGAGCGTACAGCCATAAGAAATCGTGATGCTTTGATCGGTCTCTTATTTGAACTTTCCTAGGATGTCGCTCTCTCGGAAGATCGAGTATTCTTTGTCCTCGATGATCACCTAAACAAAAAAGTATATAGAATCGCGTAATTTATAACAAACCTTTGTGCCACCGTACTCAGGAAGAAGAACACGATCACCGGCCTTTACATTCATCGGGACAGTGTCACCTTTCTCGTTTCTTGCGCCAGGTCCCGCAGCAACGACGGTAGCCTCGAGCACCTTCCCTTGGGACTTTTCCGGAAGCATGATGCCTCCCTTGGTCTTCAGCTAAACAAAACTATATTAATAGTCATCCCTTTAACATATTAGACAGCTTCTTGTATCACATGTGTCATGTGCCTCGAAAAAATTCTTTTCAAAACAATTTATGATGGCTATGTTGCTTTTCGGTATAACCGAGATTAAACTTTAATATTTTTTGTTCATAACATCCCTCAGTAATTATAACAAGTGTTTAAATCTTGCTTGACTCCTTAAAATAAACAATTTGATTGACCGGCTGATTAACGTTCAATTTTTAAATCAATTACAAATGGTTGTATTGTAATTGTTTCGTGCCAAAAACAACTCAATTCCAAACTTCATAAATTCTTTACATTGCCACTTCATTTTAAAAACGAAACCGAACCTCTGGCGTGAATCGTTCGACAAGGACGCGATCGAACAAAGGTGCAAACGATTTTAGCACATGAGGAACCTAAAATGATATTTTTCGTTTGTAAAAATGTTTAAAAACTTACAGCAGATTGACGAACAAGCGAAATGAACATCTTTATATGTAACCCGTCGGAGAAAGAGCAACCTAAAGTTGTAAAATTGATGATAAGTTGAAAAAAAATAATGGAAAAGCAAAGTAAAGGGACAAGAATAAGAATTTCCCCTTTTCGTTAGGTAGAAACTGACTACGCGACGAAACGGCGTGGACGCAATTTTAAGATTTCGTCATTTTCTCGACAGAAATTTCTAGGTAAATTTTCTTTTCTCTCACTCTTGTTAAGATACTCAATAAAAAAATTACTAGCTTTTGATTTTTTCGGCAGCAGTTTGTCATTTTTGATTTGTGGCCAAAAAAATTTTGCCGTCCAAAAACCGCTATGTTAAGCAAAGAAGCTCCCCTAAAATCAACGAATCTAACATTTTGTTCGCTCACACTGTTTTTAGTAACACGTCTTTAACTAGCTCCAAGATTTCGCTCTTTAAAAATCTTGTTGTACTTTTTCTAAAACTTTTATACAAATATTTCAATTTTAGATGCTTCGACTTGGCCTTGCTTCTTCTTCCCTACGACAACTCGCAGTCCGTGGCTACGCAAAGGACCTGCGCTTCGGATCGGAGAGCCGAAAAGCCCTTCTCGTCGGCGTGGATCTACTCGCCGATGCAGTTGGAGTGACCATGGGACCAAAAGGGAGAAATGTCGTCATCGAGCAATCGTGGGGAAGTCCAAAGATCACGAAGGATGGAGTCACCGTGGCAAAGGCGATCGATCTCGAGGACAAGTATCACAATCTTGGAGCAAAATTGATCCAGGTCTGTTTAGCCTTTAGTAAAGTAGATTTCAAGGTTTGTTGCTTCTTGGTAGTTTGATACTTGTTGGGCTTACAAAGCTTCAACAAACTGTAGTAATTGTTGGTAGTTTGATCACTTGCTAGGCTTTTAACAAACTGGTAACACTAGTGTGGCTAGAATTTTTTAATTTGTAGAGGTAATGGCCAAAAATTACTACATAAAGATGTTGTACAACTTATTAACTTTTTAATTTAGGACGTTGCCAACAAAGCGAATGAGGAGGCTGGAGATGGAACAACTTGTGCTACCGTTTTGGCTCGTGCAATTGCCAAGGAAAGTTTCGAGATCATCAGCAAAGGTGTGAACGCCGTCGAAATTCGCCGTGGTATTATGGCCGCCGTTGATGTTGTCGTCAGCGAATTGAAGGCGATGAGCAAACAAGTAAGATTATACTTTCATTCATCTAAATGGTGTCTTTAGGTCACTAGCCCAGAAGAGATTGCTCAAGTCGCTACAATCTCTGCGAATGGTGACAAGATTGTCGGTGATCTCATCTCAACGGCCATGAAGAAAGTTGGAAACAAAGGAGTTATCACGGTCAAGGATGGAAAAACGTTACAAGACGAATTGGAAGTGATTGAAGGAATGAAATTCGATCGCGGTTACATCTCTCCGTATTTCATCAACACCGCCAAAGGAGCCAAGGTATTGTTGATTTCTGTTTAAATATAGTATATAAAAATTCTGCAATTGTTATAATCAATTTGAACTTTAGGTTGAATATGAGAAGGCTTTGGTGCTGCTTTCCGAAAAGAAAATTGCCCAAGTTCAAGACATCGTCCCTGCTTTGGAGCTCGCCAACAAACATCGAAGACCTCTTGTGATTATCGCTGAAGATGTTGAGGGAGAGGCTTTGACGACACTGGTGCTTAACAGATTAAAGGTACTGTGTTTTTACTCAAAATACTTTAAATTATTTACATTTTGCATCTTCAGGTTGGGCTCAACGTGGTTGCTGTGAAAGCGCCTGGATTTGGTGACAATCGAAAGAACACGCTGAAAGATGTGGGTCGCCTTTGTTAATTCTTTTGTCACCTACTACTTTAAGGTAAATTTAATTTTAGATAGCCATCGCCACCGGAGGAACTGTGTTCGGAGACGACTCAAACCTTGTGAAATTGGAGGAAGTTCAAGCACACGACTTCGGAGAGGTTGAAGAAGTTGTTATCACCAAGGACGACACCCTGCTACTCCGTGGAAAGGGAGAACTCAAAGAAATTGAAAGAAGAGTTGAGCAAATCGCAGAGGAGATTGAAAGCAGTACATCCGAGTACGAGAAAGAAAAGTTGAATGAACGATTGGCCAAACTTTCGAAGGGAGTTGCAGTACTGAAGGTTTGTCTAATGAGTATAAGCTAGTGAGTGAGTATTGTTTAGGTGGGCGGCTCGTCAGAGGTTGAAGTCAATGAGAAGAAAGATCGCGTCACTGATGCTTTGTGTGCAACTCGTGCAGCTGTTGAAGAGGGCATCGTTCCCGGAGGAGGCGTTGCTTTGTTGCGCACGTTAAAGGCATTGGACAAATTCAAGGTGATCGCGCTTTGTTTTCTCTAAATTTTGTTTGTTTACAGGCCCCTAATGAGGATCAACAGCGAGGTGTTGAAATCGTCAAGAAGGCTATCAGACAACCCATCTCAACGATTGTTCGCAACGCTGGAATTGAGCCATCTTCAATTGTCGAGAAAGTCCTTGCCAACGAGAACCCTTCATATGGATACGATGCCTTGAACGACAAGTTCGTCGATATGACTGATGCTGGAATTATTGATCCAACAAAGGTAACTATTTATGAATGCATTTTTCACATTCTCTTGTTAAAGGTTGTTCGAACTGCTCTCCAAGATGCTGCTGGTGTCGCTTCTCTTTTGGCAACAACGGAGTGCGTTGTGACGGAGATCCCAAAGAAGGAAGCTGCGGCTCCAGCGATGGGCGGAATGGGGGGAATGGGCGGCGGTGGCATGTTCTAAACGCAAGACAAGAGTGAAGTCGCTTTCTTGCACCTCTCATTCATTTACGGTTATCTTTTTATTTTGAATTTGTTTAGTGTCTAGTGTAGGTTTATTGCTTGTTAAGTGTTTTCTCTCATTGTTATTGTTACTCAAGTTGTTTCGAAAAAAAATTAAATATAAATAAACTTTTCTTTTAAAACAACAACAAAAACACAAAACATTGAGCAACATAAAGTCAAATGATCAAATTAAGATGCGAGTCTTGCAGCTGTTTCGAGGTTCCCTTTGTGGACTTTCATATGTTTAGTCAAGTCTTCTTTGCTAAATATTTTTTTGGTGCTAAAAATAAAAGATGGCTTTAAAAGTTATCCATTATACGTATAATGGATACCTGTTAAAACTTTTTGCGCAGATTTGGCAAATGGAACGGCTTGTCGAGTTGTGCTTCTTTATATGTGCCTCCAGTCTAACAGATGTGTTAAAAGAAAGTCCACAAATTGGGCACCTGAAGTTTTTGTTGTATCTTGGTCTTTAGGCATTTACTACCTTTGAGTTTTTGGTGTTTCATTGAAAGGAAGCATATTCGGCGGTGGTTGGTTGAGCGGCAAAGGGTCTCTCGGATTTAGGCTGGGCTTCGGAAAAATATTCCACGTATCGATGTTATCAGAACTAAATTATTGTATCTATGGATAAACTATGGATACCTACCTAGGCGCTACACATTTCCCTTGATTTTGGTGTTGTTCTAAATGGATTCGGAAATGAAATTGCTTTCCGCACCGGGCACATTCCGTTTCCGCTTCTTCATTGCCATGCCGTTCTTTTATGTGGGATAACTGAAGCGATAACTTTTCTGACATTTACATTTTTTTTCTCACCAAATTGCTCGGCTTTATATCTTTAATGCAATATGGACATCTGGCTTCTGAATCGTGTTTAAGCAGATGCGCATCGAGCTTCTCATTTTCGATGAAATTCTAGATTTTTCTCTTTTTATTTAGGGTAGTGTTGATCACCTCGTGACACGCAAAACAACTAGTTGGAGCCGTTCTTTCCTCGGGATTTGTCAAGGTTTCGGTTGGCTCGAAAATTTGCGTTGAAACGGGTAGAGTGGTCATTGCGAGATGGAAATGCGAATGCAATTGTAGGTGGCCATCGTTGCGCATCGTTTGCCTGGGATTTGAATTGTTGAACTGGTGCTTGATTCGTTGTCTGGATTACCTGCAAACAGCGCACGAGATTTGCCCATTCGTCGCGTGAAGTCTGGAATGAGTGGCCAGCTCCGATGGGACACTCAACACCGCACTGCACATCGAACAGCGATCGCCGCGGAGAACCTGGATTAGAGTAGATGTTCTATTTTCATTCTTCTAAAGCTCAAGAGTCATTAATCTGAATCTTTGGATCAGAAAATGGAGCGGCAAACCAGCCTTTCTATTGTATTTGAGCTTTTGTTAAAAAAGGAAAACGTTTGACTGAAGCCGGATTCGAAGCCTGGACCTCTCGCACTTGGCGCCAGCCCGCTAACCAGTCGGCCATTGCACACTGTGGAAGTCTTTCGAAAAGACTGGCTTAAGAGACTGATAGATACTTAGATAGGCGAGTCAATAAAACTGCTGCAGTCTAATAAGACACTAGAAATACCGTACCCTAAACAATGTCGCGCTTACGTCTCTTGTCGCCTATAAAAGGACGCCTTCTTCCCCCATTTACTATCCCAGAAAAAGTGGTTTTTGGAAGAAATGCCGGCTAGAGCTCATTTGCGAGCTTGGTAGTTGAATTGAATTTTATAATTTACAAGTTTCGCGGTAGATAAATGTAGCCAAGATTCAGGGCTTCAATTCTCTATTTAACAGTTGGTAGTTTTGGATTCAATTAGGCTGAGCTGACAACTATAAGCAAAAAGGTGAGCTTCATAATTTTTGACAAGTTTTGTTTTCACCCCCATAATCACGGTGCGGAGTGTTGCGTAGTCTAGCGTAGTCTAGCTTTGAACGAGTTTTTCTCGACACTGGCCTATGCTACAATGCGCGCTTAGGTATCAAAAAAATAGCCCTGAATTTCAGCTATTTTTTCATACCAAAGACGCATTTTTTGAAAGCACGGGTGCTTTGGAAAAAATGAAATACTAAAAAACTTTTGCGACTACGCGACTGTACGGCTGGGGTACTATTACAGTATTTACGGTAGGTACTGTAAAGCTTGCTTACAATTAGCGTAGGTTTCTTGTCTTCTTGTCGTCTGTCTTCAGTTTTTGTTTAAGCACCTCAAAAATTTGAATCCTTTAGAAAGCTACCGCAAGCTTGCTTCCTTCCTTCCTTCCTTCCTTCCTTCCTTCCTTCCTACTTACTTACTTACTTACTTACTTACTTACTTACTTACTTACTTACTTACTACTTTACTACTTACTTACTTACTTACTTACTTACTTACTTACTTACTACTTTACTACTTAATTTTGCTCTTATTCGCTTAGGAAAGAAAATGTTTATTGAATGGAATCAAAATTACGTAGAAAGGGAAAGTTTGAAAGAAGGACTAGTTGAAGTTGAAAGAAAAAAAGATGGCTTTAAAAGTTGTCCATCTTTAAAAGCTGATAGCTTTCTTTTAAGCTCGTTTGCCAATTTGCCTTTTTTACTTTATCTTTGTCTTTCACTAGATTGAGTTTTAAGGTCAACCTTGCAATGAGCGATGAGTCGATGCTCATCAAGCGCCTCCTCCCCATCACACTCAACATCACAAACCGAGCAGTGAAGTCGACGACCCTAGTTTTAAAAGTGAAAAACGAATCATTCAATAAAAACCTTTGAATCAAGTGAGCTTTTTGGTTCCAATGATGGATCGATTGGCATTTGGAAGTCGAAATTGGGAAAGTGAAATGGTGGTAGTAACGGGAAACCGCTTGGTGGCCTCGTTGGTTCTCTAAATTGTTTTTTAAATGCTGAATTGGCATTCTGGCATTTGGTGCCTCAATTAGTATTCTCCAGTAACTCTTTTTCATTAGCATTTTAAAGTTTAAAAGTCATTGGACTGACGGTAGACGTTCTTAAGTATAAAAGATCAACCTTCAAGTAGTATAGATTGAAATGGTTTAATCAGGATCCAGCAGACAGCCCTGGGCACCTAGAGGTCCAGGGCTGTCTGCTGGACATCCTTGAGCCACGTTTGGAATGGCTTAGCGTGGAAAAATTGTTTCAGTCTAACTCTGAAAGGTAAGCCAGGACAAAGCTTACCTTTCAGCTCTGTCCTGGGACAGAGATAGGTCCAGCACGCCCTAGGTCCAGGTCCAGAACTAGCTAGGTCCAGAACTCGCTAGGTCCAGGTCCAGAACTCCCTAGCTCCAGGTCCAGAACTCGCTAGGTCCAGGTCCAGAACTCCCTAGCTCCAGGTCCAGAACTCGCTAGGTCCAGGTCCAGAACTCCCTAGCTCCAGGTCCAGAACTCGCTAGGTCCAGGTCCAGCACTCCCTAGGTCAGGTTCAGAACTCGCTAGGTCCAGGTCCAGAACTCCCTAGGTCCAGGTCCAGAACTCGCTAGCTCCAGGTCCAGAACTCGCTAGCTCCAGGTCCAGAACTCGCTAGGTCCAGGTCCAGAACTCTCTAGGTCCAGGTCCAGAACTCGCTAGGTCCAGGTCCAGAACTCTCTAGGTCCAGGTCCAGAACTCGCTAGGTCCAGGTTCAGAACTCGCTAGGTCCAGGTTCAGAACTCGCTAGGTTCAGGCCCAGAACTCGCAGACCTAGGAGTCTTTGTGGATCAAGCCATTCCAGCCATTCCAGATGAGGCCATAAAGATAAGCCAGGCTTCCAGTCTAACCCGATCTTAGATCATCCTTGAATGCAGCAATTACCTGTGCGTAAGCTGAATGTGTAGTGTGAGAATCTCCTCCGAATTGAACGCCACATCGCACACATTGCACGCGGGGACTTCCCTCTCTTCACTGTGCATTTGGAAGTGTTCCTTGAAATGTTTTTGATCACTACAGTAGGATTGAAAGCTTTTAGAGAACGAGCTCATTCTTAACTCATTCTTCAAACACACCTTGAAATCTAAAATCGTGTCATGTGTTGAGTGACAAATCGCGCATTGGTGAACGACACGGAGATGCGTTTCGGCTGAGTGAATGCCCAAATCGATGGCATCTAAAAGTGATTACAATGATGCTGATTGCAATGATGCTGATTACTAAGTGATTACAATTTACAATGATTACAATAATCTAAAAAAAACCCGTCTATTTTAGAAAACTATCGTAATCCACATCGATTTTTTTTCGTCTTTGTTGTATTTTTACTTCTTCTCTACCACTGTAATATTAGGTTGTCCAGTTATAAATTCGCGTTTTTAAGATAACAACTCTCGCATCTGTTTCGCTTTCCAATCAAATGTGAATGCTCTTCAATGGTGCTATGATGAACATTGAACATTTCCGACAACTCCCGAGTGATGCAAGTGGGATCTTCTTCGATAATTTGCAAAAGTTGAGACTCATCCAGCTTTCCAGACTCATCCAGTTTTCCAGACTCATCCAGCTTTCCAGACTCATCCAGTTTTCCAGATTCATTCAGGACGTCCTTCTTGATCCTCATCTTCTAGGCTCTTGTTTCCATTTCGAAATCGCTCAAACCATCGATAACATTGGCTTTCGCTAATACTACCTGCGCCATAGGCCTTTGAAATAGAATTATGCGATTGACGGGCAGATTTTCCAAGCTTAAAGTCAGAGTAAGGCTCGAAGTCAGCAGCTCGAATAAGGAATTTTTGTTCCGTCATTTTTTGATAACAAATGAACAAATGTTTTCGAATAATATTATGATTGTGTAAGCTTCTACTGCTTCTCTGTTACTCTGCTCTGCTTAACACACTCTGCTTCTCTGTTACTCTCGCTCTCTGTTCTCTGTTTGTCGGCCATTACTTTCACAAGAGCACAAGTTAAAAATTCGCATTATTTTCCCGCCAACCTAATAATTTCCGTGTTTAGATGACCGAGACGAAGTTTCGTCTTCGTGCCAGTCTTTGGTATGACTTCAAAGACTTCAAATTGGGCAAAAATGCCGCTGAATCTCATCGAGATCTCATCGAAAGTATTTGGCGAGGATGCTATTTCGGAAAGCCAGTGTCGCCGATGGTTTCAACGATTGCGAGAGGGAAATCAATCTTTGGAAGACGAAAACCACCAACGACGGCCTCCTGCGATCGATAATGCAGTATGATCTTCCAACAAATCGAAGAGATGGGCTGGAAACTTCTACCTCACGCCCCATACAGCCCTGACGTGGCCCCATCAGACTATCACTTATTCAGGCCTCTAAAGCAGTTCATCCCCGATCAGCTGTTCAAGGATTTCCGGGAAGTCGAAAATGCGGTCACCAACTATTTTTCGTTAAAACGGCCTCAGTTCTTTGTAGATGGAATTATTGAATTGAGCAAAAGATGACATAATGTCCTAATGTCCATAATCACTAAATAATAATGGAGAATACCTTTTATATTAATCCTCTTTATTTATTGTTTTTTTAAAATAAAAATTCGGGTCAAAAAAATTCGCATTATTTTCCCGCCAACCTAATGAATCAACCTGCTTCTTATTCTACTTATTTTTCTTCTCCTTATTCTTCTTATTCTTCTTCTTCTTCTCCTCCTTATTCTCCTTATTCTCCTTATTCTCCTTCTTCTTCTTCTCCTTCTTATTCTTCTTCTTCTTCTCCTCCTTCTTATTCTTCTTCTTCTTCTTCTCCTCCTTCTTATTCGTCTTCTTCTTTTTCTTCTCCTTCTTCTCCTTCTTCTCCTTATTCTTCTTATTCTTCTTCTTCTTCTCCTCCTTATTCTCCTTATTCTCCTTATTCTCCTTCTTCTTCTTCTTCTTCTCCTTCTTCTCCTTCTTCTTCTTCTTCTTCTCCTTCTTCTCCTTCTTATTCTTCTTCTTCTTCTCCTCCTTCTTATTCGTCTTCTTCTTTTTCTTCTCCTTCTTCTCCTTATTCTTCTTATTCTTCTTCTTCTTCTCCTTATTCTACTTATTCCTTATGATACAGTTGATACGCAAAGTGAGAAATTGTCAACGATTCAATCATTCCTAAAGTTTAGCGTCAAAAACACGAAAAGTTGTAATAAATAAGAAATCTTGGACAGCATATCGAGAATAGGGTTTGATAAAATTGTATAGCCCTAAGGTATGCTGTTCAAGAGCAGGCGTGTTCAAGAGCAGGCGTGCATTCATAACTGGACAACCTAATATTTAGCTTTTAAAGGTAAATGGCAGCTGGGGTGAATTGCTAAACGATTATTAGATTGCTAAACGATTATCAAAAAGGCTAAACGATTATCAAAAAGGCTAAATTGATCTTCTCTATAGTCAAGGTCAATCGAAGGTGTTCAATCGAAGAAATCGCTGCAAAAGTGAAAACTTCTCATCAAACGATTGCCAGATACCGTGAAAACCCGGCTCAATATAGAAAAAACGAAGAAACTATCAGAAGAAGCTTCCTGATCGAGATTTCCGTCTAAAGCCAACCGTCTAAGCTAACCGCTAAAGAAATAAGAAATTTACAGTCGTTTGTAGCCTCGGAATGGACCGTACTCGCGCGTAGTCGAATCTACCAAAGCCGAGGCTACTAAAGTCGAGTCAGGCTATACCACTGTCACTTTCTTTAGCTAACATTTTTAACTCGATCGCTTCGAGATCGAGATTTCCGTCTAAAGCCAACCGATCGCTTCGACTACGTGTGAGTACGGTCCATTCCGAGGCTACTAAACGACTGTAACTTTCTTTAGCATCGACAGGAATCTAAAGCTTGATCAATGAAATGAAAATTGAGCTGAGTAAACTGAGCGCTTGATTACGATAGTTTTCTAAAGTCAATACCTTTTAGAAAGCCTTCAAAATCGAATTTACTTTGAAATATCATTTGTGGGCATTGCGAACACCGAAGTCGGGAGATTTTCGTGGCGTAATGAGTTCTCAAATGTTGCTGGAGTCTCTGCAATGCTTAGAATTGCTGTTTGCTTAGGCTTAGGCTTTGCTAATTGCTCAAATATTTGAAATAGCAAAGGTTTTAGGTATAGTAAGCAGGGAAAACTTGTACCTCTTCCGTTGTGAACCTTGTCTTGCACAAGTGGCACTTTTTCGGGATTTCATTTGAGGCATTCGCTCCATTCGGAACGCTGAGATGAGAGCGCATATGGGCGGCGAAAGCTTCGAATGTCGGCATCCTGGCTGAGCAAACCTGGAGTTTCATTTGAACAGTTTTAGTTGTATCGTTTTATTATTGGATTTGAATTATTTGAATTATTATTTGAATTATTTAGAAGATTTATTTGGGCAAAGCCAATTTCGCAAATTTCGTGCTCAAACAGCTTTTCTGAACTTTAGTTGCTTTGTTTTTATAACTCACTTGACACTCAAGAGAAATGTCATCGGTTGTCGAAGGAAGCACTCGATTTCCCTGAATTTTACTTGCTCTTACTTGCTTTTTACTTTTTACTTGCTTTAAAAGGACTTTAACTTGTGAAGTGTGAAGTGTCATCTGTCATCATTGGGACATACTTTAAGTATGTCCCAATTACTGTACAATTACTGTAACTGTACGGTTTTTTTCTCTCATTTCCAGAGTTATAAGGAGAATTGGAATTGAAGCAAAATCTTAGGAAAAGCAAAAAGACGATCAAAAGACAAAATGTTCAAGTCACTCAAGTCAAGTCTCTTCCACTGTTCTCATTCACAAAAAGATCAACAAATTGGGGAAGGCCGTCCTTCGAAGGGATTAATCTCAAAAAGAGACTTAGTGACTCCCAGAAAGAAACCGGTTCACTAGGGAACCTTGTCAAGTCAAGATCGAGTTTTTATCTGTTAGAGTTTTTTTTTTATTTTTTTTTAATTTTTTTATAATTTTTTTTTTATTTTTTTTATATTTTTTTATATTTTTTTTTTTTTTTTTTTTTTTTTTTTTTTTTTTTTTTTTTTTTTTTTTTTTTTTTTTTTTTTTTTTTTTTTTTTTATTTATTTATTTTTTATTTTTCTGATAGATCTCTGATAGATCTCTGATAAATATCTGCTAGTTTTCATCAGGGATTTGAATCTGTTTTTCCTTTTCGTACGTTTCTATAACGCTTCTATCTTTGAAACAACATTTGACCTTTTCCGGCTAGTTTAATTTACAAAACCAACTTAATCTACAAAACTACAAACCGTTTTTTGATTGGATAAGCCGTTTTTTCAGAAGACACATTACCAAAAAACGATCGTTTATAACTTGCCAACCTAATAGATAAATTCAGAAGCTTCTAGCTTCTTCTAAAGCTTCTTCTTCTAAAGCTTCTTCTTCTAAAGCTTCTTCTTCTAAAGCTTCTTCTTCTAAAGCTTCTTCTTCTAAAGCTTCTTCTTCTAAAGCTTCTAGCTTCTAGCTTGTAAAGTTCTAGGTAAATTTGGAAACTTTGAAAACAACTTTGAAAACCCAGGTACAAACACGGAGACAGTAGCCGAGTCACTAGAGTGTGCCAAAGCATTTGCACAAGTTCAAGTTACCGTTTCCACATGTGATTTGAGAGTATGCTTCTGCAAAGAAGCAATCGAGTCGAAACGCAGCTCGCACAGTTGACAATCGATTGTGATCGACGGATCCGACTCGATTTTCGTCTCGTTTTCGTTTTCATTTTCATTTCCCCCGTTTTCTTCTTCATTCACCGAATCAGCTTTGTCATCGTTTTCCAGAAGCTTTCTGCAAATTTTGTCTTTAAACCTTTTTTGGAAAGTTTAATCGTTTAAACCTGATTTTTATTGGGCATTCCTCATCGCTTTCTTCCTCTTCTTCTTTCAATTCACCTTCTAAAAACGAAATTTGAGAGATTTTGAGAGATTTTGAAAGATTTTGAAGGCTTTTGAAAGCTTTTGAAGGCTTTTGAAAGATTTTGAAGGCTTTTGAAGGCTTTTGAAAGATTTTGAAAGATTTTGAAAGCTTCTGAAGGCTTTGGAAAGCTTTTGAAGGCTTTTGAAGGCTTTTGAAGGCTTTGGAAAGCTTTTGAAGGCTTTTGAAGGCTTTTGAAGGCTTTTGAAGGCTTTTGAAAGATTTTGCAAGATTTTGAAAGCTTTTGAAGGCTTTTGAAGGCTTTTGAAGGCTTTTGAAGGCTTTTGAAAGATTTTGAAAGATTTTGAAAGCTTCTGAAGGCTTTGGAAAGCTTTTGAAGGCTTTTAGAAGGCTTTTGAAGGCTTTGGAAAGCTTTTGAAGGCTTTTGAAGGCTTTTGAAAGATTTTGAAAGATTTTGAAAGATTTTGAAAGCTTTTGAAAGCTTTTGAAAGCTTTGCATCTCTTGAAGGCTTCATAAAATCAACTCACCCTTTAGAGCTTTCGGTTTCAATTGTTTTCGTCGAGACATCAAAGATTACTGTAGCTGTAGTTGAGCTAATGTAACTGTAGTTGAGCTAGTGTTACTGTAGTGAGTTACTGTAGCTGTAGTTGAGCTACTGTTACTGTAATTGTTACTGTAATTGAAGAGAAACGACGGATGCAAAATAAGTATTCGAAAATGAAAAAGGAAAAGAGAAAGCAGAGAACTGCCGGATTGAAGCGAATTTGTTTTGGCGCAAGGCAAATGTCTAGTTTTCGATAATCAATCTCACATCAAACGATACTTTTTGATTAGGGAGACACTAGGACCATTCAAAAAGGCGTTTGTCTATTCAAAAAAGCATTTGTCCATTCAAAAAGGCATTTGTCAAGTTTCTTGAAGTAATCTTCCGATTACTGGACTTGCTGTAAAGAAGTTTACAAAAGCCAAGCCTATTCTAAGGGTTATCGGCGAGACTCGCCCCTTGCCTTTTGCCTTGGCTTGCCATTGGCTCAACTTTAAGCTCAAATATCTTGGGCTGTCTAATTTACATATTCTTAATATCATAAGACAGCGATCTATTAGGGACTTGCAAAAGAAACTGCAAAAGAAACGGATTACTTCCGAGAACCAAAGTTTTTTTTTTATTTTAAAGTGTGATGGTCCGGTTTAAATTGTATTATATTGCATTACTATTGCTTATTCATTTTAATTATTTTCACAGCTATTGCTATCATTGAATATCACATAATTTTTAGGTACAAGATGACCGATCAAAAACTACTGTTGCCTTGTCTTCTCTATGACTTCAAAATGAAGAAATCAGCATCGGAGTCGAATCTTTCTCAAGCATTCGGAGAAAACATTTTGAGTGAAAGGACTTGTCAGGAATGGTTTCGACGTTTTCGTGAAGGAGATGAGAGCTTGGAAGATGAGCCGCATGGATATCGTCCAGTTGTCCTCGATAATATGGAGTTGCTGGAGATTGTCGAGTTGGATCCAACTCAAACTTTGCCCGAATTAGCCGAATACTTTAAATGTGATTCGAGCACGATTTCTCGACACCTTGCGCTTATTGGAGCTTTGGAAAAAGGAATCGTTGTGGCCAATGGGTTCCACATGAATTGTCCCCTAAAAACAAAGCCAATCGAGTTTTATTGTCTCGGATTTTATTGAAAAAGTGTTTTTTATGCTCTGGGCGCGCACGTAATCGCTATCCATCTGGCACAGGCCGCTGATGGATAGACGTTGACTTTTGGACATCGAAAAACGACCGAAAGCTGCCGAAAGCCGCCAAGAAGTGCCGAAAATTGCCAAGAAACTGCCGAAAGCTTCCAAAAACCGCTGAAAAAGTGCTACGGGCAGTGCTTTTTTTGAAAGCATGTTGACGATGGACGAAAAGTGGATATATTTCAATAATTCAACACGCAAAAGACAATGGTTGAGCAAAGGAGAAAGGCCGATTCCGACATCACATCCAGAACTTCACGGAAAGAAAGTTATGTTGTCGGTCTTTTGGAATATCAAAGGAATCGTTTATTTTGAACTACAAAAGTCTTCAAAAACTATAACTTCTCAAATCTACGCCGAACAGCTGAAGAACCAAATTTAGAGAGATAAGGAACCAAATTCAGAGAGATAAGGAACCAAACGTAAAGAGATAAGGAACCAAATTTAGAGAGATAAGGAAACAGATTTTGAGAGATAAGGAACCAAGAAAGTTGATGAAATTCTACGAGAAAGTGGTGTTAATCCAAGGACAATCAATTTGCTTGCTGACAACGCCCGAGTACACACATCAAACTTGGCTCAAAACACCATAGAAGAATTCGGCTGGAAACTTGTGCCTCATCCGCCATATTCGCCTGATATTGCTCCCTCGGATTATCACTTGTTCCGGTCTATGCAACACTCTCTTGCAAATCAAATCAATGCAAATCAAAAGTTTAACAATCCTGAAGAAGTCGAAATTTGGGTGCAAGACTACTTTGCGTCGCGGGACCCCGAATTCTTCGAATCAGGCATCCGAAGTCTAGTCCGAAGAAAGTCCGAAGTCTAGTCCGAAGTCCGAAGTCCGAAGAAATTTGAGCTGAAAGTTAGATTGCCAATGGCAAAAGGGGTGGAGCGCGTACCAAATGTCCCAAAATGGAAGAAAATAGTTGATAATAATGGCGAATATCTTTTTGGGATAAAGTTGTTTTCTTATTGATTTTTGGATTCTTCGAATGTTGGTTATAATCCACAGTTTCTTTCGCAATTACCTAATATATAAGACAGCGCGTATATAAGGCAAAGGAAGCTGGCGTCAGATTGCCATTGGCAATCTAACTTTGAGCTCAAATATCTTGGCTTTGGATTGTTCAATTTAAACATTTTTGATATCATTAGATACACCAAGTCTTTCTCTATCGATTGGTATAAAAACTATTTCAATCGAACCGCTCAAAGCCAAGAAATTTGAGCTGAAAGTTCGATTGCCAATGGCAAAAGGGGTGGGGCGCATACCAAATGTCCCACAATCTATTCTAAGCGCTGAATTCAGAGAAATCGCATAATAAAATCAAAATGAGAAGATCTAGAAGATCTAGAAGATCTAGAAGATCTAGAAGATCTAGAAGATCTGGAGGATCTAGAAGCTCTCAAAGATTCAAAAGATCCAAGAGGAGCAAGTAATGAGAGAAATCAAGGCTAATTAAAGGACTAAAAGCACAGTAAGCAAACAAAATCTACAAGAAAACGAAAAATCGATAGAGACAGTATATGAGTGAGGTCCGGGTGGGGTGTTTGGGGGTCTGGGTGAGGGAGAGACTGGGTGGAGAGGTGGAGAGTGGGGTGGGGGGGACAAGCTCCCAGGGGAGCCGGCTGATTGGGAACGCGGCGTCGATCCCCCCAGGGATTTCCCCCGAGGGGGAAGGGGGCCCGCTTAGCATTAATTAATCGCCACACCCAACCTATCCCTTTTCTCCTTCTCCGATTGGATCGGGTTTCTCTCGAAAGTTCGAAACTTAATGGAAAACTGTAAAGTTTGAGAATCTGTTGCTTGGAAATGGGGACCGAAATGCTCGAAATCTTTTAGAACAGAAGCAGAGCAGCTCTAAATACTCTAAATCTTTCCTAAAGAAGCAGAGCAACTCTAAATCTTTCCTAAAGAAGCAGAGCTACTCTAAATCTTTCCTATCTTTCCTATTTCAATCTTTTCTATGTCAAATTTCTTTTTACAATTGAATTCTTATTATTCCTTATTACTTTTCATTACTTATTTTATCAGAAAGCGTATGAGAATGAGGAAAATTGGGGAAAGGGACATGGCTGTTCCCCTAGGGACCTTAAAATGAAGGGAGAGCCTTAAAAGGGACGACACAGACAGCCCCCAAAACACGAGAAAGGGATTAGCTCAATGCTAACTGTTATGCAATTGTTAGAAATTGCAAATATGAATTGAAATGCAAATATGAATTGAAATTGTTTGTCTGGAATTTCATTGTCTGCTTGGGAAAGCTAGTCAAGAGTTTGGCCAGCATTTTTCGATTAGAAAAGACTTTCTGCTGAATCTAGGGTACGCTAGTTCACAGCAATGTACAGGGTGCGGCATAAGTATGGTTACAAGGTTGTAACATTGATTTAAGAAACTGATTGATTTTTATTTCTTTCCAAAGGATTATTTTTTCTTAATTTGAATGCTTTTTTATATTATGTAGCAGTTTTTAAGCAAATTTTTGAAGTTTGGACATAATGGTGAAGGCTTCTCCCAACCGTGCCCCTATTCTTCAGCTTGGAGCACAGGGATGATCAACTTTTACCTTTGATCAACTTTGGATATTGCCAAACTGCTGAAAAGGCATCGAATGACGGTATACTGCATTTTGCAACAAAATAGAGTCGAAGAGCTTCCTAAAAGTGGATGTCCGCCAAAAATTGATCACACGAGACTCAAGAAAATCATTAAGAAACGAATCAAGTTACTTATGCCGCAGCCTGTATGCTTGGGGAAGCTAGTCAAGAGTTTTGCCAGCATTTTTCGATTAGAAAAGACTTTCTGCTGAATCTAGGACTAGCTCGGGTACGGTAGCTCACAGCAATGTAAAGTAATTCCTGTAATTACTCATCCGAACAGTAGTTTTCAAGTGTTTTTCTAAAAAAACGAAAATTCGGTCGATAGCGGATCCGAACCAGGGAACCGGATCAGAGCCGAGACCCGACACGCTAACCCATTATCCACTGAGCTACCGAGACACTCAGAGTCCCTCGTGGAACCACCTTAAATAGGCCAGCTCGCTATTTGGCTCAGGTTTATTTAACTTGAGTTAGTTTAGAAGTTGAATCACCAAAGAGGGAAACGTGTCGTGGTGGCCGAGTGGTAGTGGGCTTGCATACAAAGCACGACCTCTGGGTTCGGGTCCGATGTTTGACTTTCGTTTTGTTTTTTCTAGCTTTCAATGGTTTTATTGTTCTCTATGCGCAATCGTACAGCATCTGGCACACCTCTGGATATACAGCCAATGACGACCGTTCAACAAAACATTTAAACCATTCAAAGTTAAAAGAAGAAAAAAACAAAAGCCAGACGGCGAAGTGGAACCCTCGGGCCCTCGCCTCGTATTTAAGCCCACTGCCACTCGGTCACCAAGCTGATAAATTAGGTGTCTGGTGACTCACCTAATTTATCTTTTTACTCAAGATTCCCAACAAAACTTCGAGCGCTTATAACTTTTGACAGAGTGCTCCATATCAGAAACGGAAAGCATATTCGGAATCAGCGTGAAATTCTGCGTCGAATGATCTATAGCTCATTTCATTTGACCACGCGCATAGAGAACAATTGTTGTCATTCTCTTGTCAGTCATGAAATGAATCAAATCTTCTAGTTTACATCCAAGATAGCTTATGATAAAGTCTCTTTATTCAACATTTTCTTTGCAGTATTTTGTTATCTTTGCAATATTATCTCCGCTTCCTCACTATGTCAATTCGTTTATTCGAACATAAAAAAACTACAGTAGAAAAAACAAAAAAAGGAAAAATCATTCAACAAGTCATCAAAGAAAAGAAAAAGGTGTGTGTGTGCGTAAGTAGAACGACTTTTTGTACAAATATTTGAAAAGGGTCGATAGACTAGAGAAATTCATAGAAATCTAAGAAATCTATTGGAAAGGTGAATGAAATGAAAAGTCTGGGATCCGGGGAAATTTGTTTGTTTTTGCTAGCAAGATTTGGCTTGTTTAATTGAGTTTTCTAAAAGGTGTCTTTGGGAAAAGCTACGACACTTTTTAGCTACCGTAATCCTGTTTTTTAGCTACAGTAATCCTTGTCTTTAGCTACAGTAATCCTGATCTTTAGCTACCGTAATCCTTGTCTTTAGCTACCGTAATCCAGACGGCAATCCAGACAGCAATCCAGACAGCAATCCAGACAGAAATCCAGACGCTATCGTAATCCTGGCTCCCTTTTCGCTACAGTAATCCGAGCGCTTTCCCAGCTATCGTAATCGAGTCGTAATCGTTTTTAAGTCAGAATTTGTTCGGAATTAAGCCAGGATTAGTCCAGGATTAGTCCAGAATTACATAATTGAGTTACAGTAATCCGTAATTACACAAATAACGGCAGGATTACGGTAGTTTTTCCTCATCTTTTAGAAAACGATTTCAACTAAAGCACAAGCTAATAATGACCCTAAATATACTACAAAAAGAAAGAATAGGCGAAGTGAATAAAATCAAAGAGATACGAAATAATTTAACAAAGAAAAGAAAAGAAGAAGAAGAAGAAGAAAAAGAAGAAAAAAGAAGAAAAAGAAGAAAAAAGAAGAAAACGATCGAGCAAGAGTCGCTTGTGCATTCGATTATATCACATTTAAGCCACGAAAGATAGAAAATGGTGAAAAATTTCAGGAAAATCGGTTTTGAGACTCGAACCAAATCAGAAAACTAAAAATCAGAGTAAATTCTGTGACAAGGGTTGTGTTGAGTGATAGAAAAATGATGCTAACCATTCGGCTAATCAATGAAGAATTTCTGCGCGCCAGACGGCGTTCGTTTACACTTCGTTTTAAGCACAAAAAAGCATTTTGTTCGCTTGCTGATCTCTGACACCTCATGGTTTGAGTCTAAACTTACAAATGAAGCTTCAAATTTACGTTTAAACAAAGGAGATCTTACAAAAATCGCGGGTAACTTCAAGTTCTCCAACAAACAATCGGGTAATAAAGCTAGAAGAGAATAGGAAAGTGGTAGGAAAGTGGTAGGAAAGTAAGTAAGCAAGTAAGCAAGTAAGTAAAAAGTAGGAAAAATTTTGTACCTTAAAAATCAGAGTGACTGTGACAAGGCTGGAACACCGGAATCGTTAGGGGAAAGGGGAAGGTGAATGGGTAAAAGTTGGATACTTTAAATGAAAAGCTTGACGATAAGAATGATCATAATCGATGGAATGAATGAAAGAAATGCTGATTGAGATGGGCCAGCTTGAAGAGATGGAAGAGTGAGCACGGAACGAGTGGAGAGACCCGGATGCTGTGAGCCGGATGGACCGACTTCTTGCGCGGTGCCGTGCAGCACGAGATCCCATTTCACCAGTTCGGCATCTGGGATTGAAATGGATTTATTTCATAAAGAGTTTCACAAAGCTGTATCTGACTACAGTACTCTTGACTATAGTACTATTGGCTTAAGTCTAATGGAAATGATTAAGACTAGTCGAATGTCTAACGGTTCCAATATGGTTCCAATATGATTCCAATATGGTTCCAATATGATTCCAATATGGTTCGGATACGGTTCCAATACGGTTCCAATATGGTTCCAATATGATTCCAATATGGTTCCAATATGATTCCAATATGGTTCCAATATGATTCCAATATGGTTCCAATTTGATTTCAATATGGTTCCAATATGGTTCGGATACGGTTCCAATATGGTTCCAAAAACCAATTCGATTGCGCCTACTCCGCCTACGCCTACCAACTATTGAAGTTTATTGGAAAGTCTTTTCTTATTAGCTGGCTAAGAACGTACTGCACCTAATTTCTCTCTAAATAGTGATCACTAACCCTCACTATTAGGGAAATTGCGGTTTTGTTTCTCTTTTTATAAGTCTCTCAAATTCTCTTGCTACCCCTGTCAGCTGGTTTGGGGTTAAGTCTGACTTTAAGTAAACGCTAATAACTCTAATAAACTTGCTCACCATCCCATCCATCATTATCGACTTCTAGTGTCCAGAGTCCAGCCGCGTACTCGCCCCAATTGTGTGTCGTCATGAAAGCCCACTCGGTGAAGCCGGCTCTCGATGAGTCGCGAGCACGTTTCGTCAACAGAACACTTCGCGTATCTAAAAGAGGAATGGAATCTAGATTTTTGTCAAGTACTAGGTTGGTGCAAATGAAATTTCGTTTTTTTTACAAACATTAAAGTCATCCAAAATTTTTTTTGATAACAATTTATTTAAAACAATAAGCACCATTATTATCTATGACATCCCTCCAACGTTGCTACAGATTGCGGATCCCCTTCTCAAAGAACGCTTGATTCTGTGATGCAAAGTAGTTGGTCACCCAATTTTCGACTTCTTTTGCATTCTTAAACTGGCAATTCTCAAGGGAATGTTGCATCGATCTGAAAAGGTGAAAATCGGAGGGTGCTAAGTCTGGACTATACGGCGCATGTGGTAAGACCTTCCATCCTAGCTTCTCTAGTTCCTTACAAGAGGTTTTTGCCGTGTGAGCTGGAGCATTATCACGGAGAAAGCTGATAGTTGAGGGATTTAGGCCTTTTTCACGCAAAATTTCGTCAACCTTCTTGAGTTGTTGAATAAAATAAGATGAATCGACTGTTTTTCCGGGCTCTAATAATTCAAAATGAACAAGTCCATTGATATTCCACCAGCAAGACAACATCACTTTGCGCCCATGATAATCCGGCTTTGGAGTTGGAATTGGCGCTTGACCTTGCTCAGACATTGTCTTTTCGAGAAGTATTATCAAAGTGAATCCACTTCTCATCCATCGTCAAGATATTCTCAAAAAAATGGCTTCTTTTCGACTTCTGGAGCAAGATATGGCTGATCGGAACGCGTGCTCCCAGATTCTCAACACTCAATTGATGTGGAACCCATTGTCCATTACGATTTGTCTTTCCAATTATTTCCAAATGGCGTACAATTGTTGAATGATCACATTGAGATGTTTGGCAAGTTCTCGTGTTGTTTGCATTGGATCAGGCTTCAATTAATTGTTCCAATTCATTGTTGTCGATGGCTGTGGCACGATGTCCATGCGATTCGTCTTCAAGGGATTCATTACCATCTCGGAATTGGGCAAACCAGAGCTGGCATGATCTTTCGGTGATAACCTGTTCTCCAAAGGCGGAACAGAGATCACGATGTGAATCAGCAGCGTTTTTGCCCATTTTGAAGTCATAGAGAAGACACGTGCGCAGAACATACTTTTGATCCACCATGATCTAAAGCAAAAATCAATTAAAAAGTGAAAGCTCTGACTTTGAAAAAATGCGAAAATAAAGTAAATATCCAAGAGTACAAATGCACAAAAGAACATCAAATAAGCTCTTCAGATTAAAAAAATAAGAACATTTTATATCGACCGAAATTTCTTTTGCACCAACCTAATAAAGTTACAAACAAAATCACTTACAAACCATTTCAACAATGCAAGAAAATATTATTCAAAAAAAAACCCACTGCTTGGTGATGTGAGGTAAATCTGAATATCGCCTCGCTTTGGCGCTTTCAGAGTGACAATTGCTTGCACGTGTTCCACATAGGCCACATGATCATCCGATCCGGCGCATCCGTCCGTGTAAAGTTGAAGTTGCAAGCGATTACCATGGGAATCGTTCTAAATAGATCGTTCTTTTTCAAAAAAGCTCAACTATTTTTTCATTTACTCAAATTCAGAACTGAAATTCAACGATCAAAAAATCGGTTTCTCAAACGGAAAACCCAGGTTTTTATGAAACTGCAGGATTGAAAACGACTTGTTCTTTGGGGGTGTACTTTGAGCTTTTCCAGCTTTGCTTTACTGTTTTCTACAAGCGCTCATGCTTAAAAGGAATCTAATATACCAGAAAAGATGTGTTTAACTAGAGCAAAATGAGCAAAAGATGTGTTTACTAGAGCACAAAGTACGCTTGACTTAACTCTGCCTGAAAAATCTTTTCTAGTGCTCTGAATTCTCAATTTTCCGTGACAACAATCGATATTATAAAAAAAAACTTTAAGAATTGCGCCAGAAAGTTGGTGTTAGCTCAAAATACACTCAAAGAACAAAACGAACCCCTATTCGGGTGTATATCAAAGAAAAACAGTGAACTCAAAGACTTTCGACGCTAAAACCTTTTCGCCGGTCGATTTTCCCGATACGAGAAAAGTCGATGTAAATAATAGCTAAAATTCTTTAAGCTTTCAATTCGATACTTTTCTTTTTATGCTAATTTCTCAAGCTCACTTGAAACGTGACGGGTAAAACTGTTTGCAGCGATGTTGCTCTGGGACGGTTGTCCAATTTTTCGCCAATCTCACCATGGCACCTAAAAAGATTAAAGAATTAAAGAACTAAAGAACTAAAGAATTAAAGAATTAAAGAATGAAAGAATTAATGTCTAAATCTCTCAATAAAATCACCAATATCAAAGATTAAATGCAAATTTATGCAAATACTCACCAGCGTCCATGAGTCCGTATCCAAATGAATGCGATACATTTCTGCCCACTCCATTCGTCACCCAATCTCCCGCTCGTAGATGAATCGGACGAGCCGTGCGCACGACGAGATGCTAAAATTTTTGAGTTTGAGTAAAAATTTGAGTACTTTTTTCGACTTTCAAAGTATCCTCCTTGCTCACTCAGCTGAATATCTTCTATTCTTGAATTCTAGTTTCATGGGGTATTTCAAACAAAAGGCACAGCTACGAAAAATCTACGCAGAAAAGGGCGGGTGGTGCTTCATAGCTTTCATAGCTGACGCATTTGTTTGAATTTTTCCATAAAATTAAAAGATATTCAACTAGAGCTTAGGGAAAACTTTAAAATTATATTTAAAATTTAAAATTATAGTACTTTTGTACTAAAGTCACCCACTAAAGCATCAAAGGAAAATTCGGGGAAATTCAAGAAAAAAGATACATGGGATGTTTAAGATTTTCGGACTTTTTGTATCCTAAACTTTACTTACAAGTAGCTTTTGAAATGGTTAACAATATCTAAAGTTTATAATTGAAAATGGAAAAGTTTTTACTGTGCACTAAACTTGTAACAAAAATATCTGTCGGTCCTTTTTGGCCGTTGGCAATTTAAGGTTTTTCATGTTTTTCTCAGCACCAACCATTCGATTTTGAGTCTTTTGACTATCATTCGATGCAGAATGAAATTGCGCGTCGAATGATATCAAAATTAACCAAAAATGTATTATCCATGCAAAGTTATGAGGCAAAAGATTAAGTTCCGCCCATAATGGGCGGGGTTTAGGTTTTTAGCCAACAACTTTGCATGGATAATACATTTTTGGTTAATTTTGATATCATTCGACGCGCAATTTCATTCTGCATCGAATGATAGTCAAAAGACTCAAAATCGAATGGTTGGTGCTGAGAAAAACCTTAAATTTCCAACGGCAAAAAAGGACCGAGAGATATTTTTGTTACAAGTTTAGTGCACTAGCTCAGACCAGAAAGTCATAGTCAAGTCATGGATCAGACCAGGCCAAGCATGGCTCACCCATGCTTCTTCAAGAAAAGTAGCTCTTGGATTAGTTTAGTTTAAAAGTAGTCAATCTATATTATTCAGAATATTTAGTTTTTGCCTACTCACATTAGAAATGCTCCTTATTTACCTGTAAATCCCTCCACGTCAAATTCGGATTAGCTTCTAGCGCCAACGCGACGATCCCCGCGGCTAACGGAGCAGAAGCTGAGGTACCCGTGTGTAGTGTGGTGCAGCCATGATGCAAATCGGTTGTCACCTGAAATATTTTGGTCATTGTGCATTTTGTGTCCTCGTTTTAGAATTTGAAATGATATAAGACATGATATAAATGATATAAATGATACATCCCGTTTTACTATTCAATGTCAGCCGCTTTAAATGCTAATTTTGATGTAATTGATAAAATGGAGCCTTCCAATTCACATCCAAGATTTCCCTTTTAACATTAAAATCTCCAACTCACAATCATTTTCTCTCCGGCTGCGCCACTTGAATAGGCGGTGGCTAGAGTGGACGAGCAAGCCTCCGAATACCATGGAATATTCCCATTCTCGGTGGCTGAGGAGATCGACAATGTGTAGATCGAATTTGTGTACCTAAAGAATATTATAATCTGATATTATTACTTTCAAAATAAGTCTACATACCTTATAGAACACTTCTAGCCATTCCCTAATAAGTTTTGCACCCTTTATTTCATTATCTGACTCAACGAGTCTCAAACTACCAAACTACCAAAAGATTTCTTTCATTATAAATGTTTATCGTTTTTTTTCAGGGTGGCTACACTTTGGGCCAATTTTTTTGCGCAACTATGTCATTTGCGCAACTTGCCATAACTTTCTTCTAACAAAATGACACCAAAATCATAAAGATTGGTCGACTTAGAAGAAAGTTATGGTGAGTTGCGCAAAGTAGCCAAAAATATCAGTTTTCGTTCTCACAGATTATTCTTTTGTTTAAAATTTTAACTTTTAACTTTTTATCATTTTTAAACAATTTTAGGGGTAGGCTAGTTTCCGCAATTTCTTTTGCGCAACAGGGTTATTTGCGCAAATGGGTCGTTTGCGCAACTCGCCATAACTTTCTTCTAAGTCTGCCAATCTTTATGATTTTGGTTTCATTTTGTTGCACTTATTGAGATCTACAAAATAAAACCAAAATCATAAAGATTGGTCGACTTAGAAGAAAGTTATGGCGAGTTGCGCAAAAAAAAAGTTGCAGCAATTAGCCTACCCCCAATTTTAAAATTTTAAACAAAAGAATAATCTCCGAGAACGAAAATTGATATTTTCAAAAATATTGAAAATTTCAGCACATAAAGAAAGCCATTATACAAATTATTCTGAGATTTTGATTCTAGAACCAACTTTTTTGTGCGTTATCTTTTTTTATTTTGTCATCAAAACAGGTTTCATTGGAAGAAACAGTCAAAATCACATCATTTGACCTTTCTTGAACACTCGGCTTCTTGCTAATGAAAAACCTTCAAAACAAAGCTTTTCAAAAACTTTAAAAAGTCATTTGCAAGAGAAATGATTGGGCTATCTAATGAAACAAACCGTATTTGGTAGCTTGAGACTTTGGAATTCAATTCGTTCAATTCAATTCAATTAGAAAATGAATTTGGTTTGCAAAAACTTTGTACTCAACCTAATAATCAGTCGAGTGAGGTGAACGAGTCAATGACTCAAACGCTTAAGCCAAATTCGTAAATCTAACAATAGCCAAGTTATAGACTTAACAATAACCTAGCATGGCCATACTATTTTCTGGGAATTCTCTCGTTCACTCACCCGTCACAATTGCACGAGTCTCCATCTTTGCCTCCATTACCCGATGCCCACACGAAAATTGAGCCTTTTCCGCCGCGACCCTGAAAAGATTCGAATAGTTTTTGAAATCTTAAGACTTTCCTATATTTTTCTGCAAAATGTATTATTATTTTTTAAATATCTGTAGCATTTTTTGCTTTTTCCTAATCTCATCAAGTAGATTTAGATTGACTTTGAGATAAGCTGCAATTGCAAAAAGTTTATAAACAGTTTTGCAATAACAACTCGAATACCGTAATCTAAATGGATCAAGAATTGTCAAAAATACCAAATATTGTAATCTAAATGAGTAAAAAAAATAGCTACCTCTCGAATTCCCCCGCTCGAAAGCAGCTCTCGTCAGCTTCGCCGGTCCATCAACCGTTCTCCCGTCATCATCAGGACCCCAAGAAGCACTAAAGTATTATTTTCTAATAATACAATATATGGATTTCTTTATCAGTTCTAAACCTTTAAAAATTAAACTTTTTATTCACCTATAAACATCGATATGATTTGTGCCATGTGAGAGAGAGGCAGCCTCGACCGCGTCGGTCACATCTCCGTCCAACATGCGAATGCCTGGAAGGAAAATCTATAAATTTTATTCTATGCTTTATATTTTATCTCAGAAATATGCTTAAAACTAGATCTAAATAATTTAAAACCTAAGTTCAATTGGCTCTTTGAATAGTACCTCCAATATTCGCATTGTACGCGATGCCAACGATGCAGAGAGTATTGTTGAACACGGCCGCTACCTCACCGGCACATCTGAAAGAAGATTTTTTAATTTTTGACAAAATTACGGTATTTTGCTATGAGCCAAAAGTATTATAAAGTACCATTTTCTGTATTCGGAAAACCTTTGCTATTTTGGAACAGCAGTGAAGGCTGACTTTTATGCCAATAAAGCTCAAGTGTTTACACTGACTGTCGAATATTTTTTGATGCGTAGACATCCAAGCTTATAGACATTTGTCTATAAGCTTGGATATTTAATATTAGGACTTAAACTATGTCTTTATAATATTTTACAAGTTAAGCAATGTCAATTCTTGCCTTGTCCCATGTCGGTTCTCATCTGAATACTCATATCTTGGCAATGGATTGTCATCACGATCATTCACATCGTATGAGGCTTTTGGATCCTAGAAAAAGATAAAATTTTGACATTTTTATGATCTGAACTCCTTTAGGGAGCTGCACTTAAAGTGTAAACGCACCCCTTCTGGTGCACTCACTATTACAAGTTCTTTCCTCTTTCCCGTGACATAGGATCGTTGAATTGAGGAAAACTGTAGACTTTCATGCACCAGAAGTGCATTTACACTTTTAATCTCAAAGTGCACCAAATGAACTATTTTACCCACGTAATTGGGCAATATATCGGGATGTGTGTGCTCCAAGCCATCGTCCAGGATTGTTACAACAACGTCTGAAATTTGATTAGATCTTTATTAGTACTGTAAACTGTTAAACGTTAAATTAAGTACGAGTATTACCGCGTGACCCATAATATGTGGCCTTATATGAATTAAGAAGATTAAGTCAAAAATATGTCAGATTACTTAAAGGAGTCTATTATAATTTCATTTTTATAACATTTTTACACTTATATTACAATTTTTAGCCCAATCAGTCGGCTAGAAGAAAAATTAAGGCCATTAGAAGCTCCGTAAATAAAAGCGTCTGGCACAATGTATATTGTCTTATGAAATCATGCTTTAAATGCTTCAAATCTCAAAACTCTTCCTCAAATAATGTTTTTTTGCTTTTTCTATGTTTTGTTTATGTTTCTATAAACGAATTTTGTTTGAACTATTATAGAATCAAACTTTAATCGCTTTAATTGTCGCCATGTTGAAAGCGAGATGAAATAAGCTTATTTTGGGTGTTTTAGAGGATTCCAAAACTAACATTAGGCCAAAAGGTTTAAGCAGAAAGTAATAATTTCAATTTTATTAACCTTTTTAAAGCATCAATAACTAATTAAAATCACTGAAAAGTTCAGTGCCTTTATTTTAATCAATTTTATGGACAAAAGCGACAATTAAAGCAATTAAAATTTGATTCTATAATAGTTCAGACAAAAATTCGTTTATAATCTTAACATAGAAAAAGCAAAAAAAAACATCATTTGAGGAAGAGTTTTGAGATTTGAAGCATTTAAAGCACGATTTCATAAGACAATGTGCCTTACAATGTGCCTTACAATGTGACAATATACATTGTGCCGGACGCTTTTATTTACGGAGCTTCTAATGGCCTTAATTTTTCTTCTAGCCGACTGATTGGGCTAAAAATTGAAATAGAAGTGTAAAAATGGTGCAAAAATGTTATAAAAATAAAATTATAATAAACTCCTTTAAGCAATCTGACATATTTTTGACTTCATCTGCTTTCATATATCGCGTAAAACATGTTATGGGTCACCCTGTACTATTCCTTATCGATATGACTAGTGGCGCTAGATATTGGCTTTGAAACCGGCTCAACTGATCCTACTGTACTGTATATGGCGTAAAACATGTTATGGGTCACCCTGTATATCCACTAATATATAGGAATTTGAAAACATTTCACAAAAACCCTTACTTTTTCCCGTGTAGCCGAGATCCCAGGCTTCTTGCACGTTGTGATCCATTTTGCCTTCTTCCGATTTGTCGGCTCGATTCTGAAAAAACCTTATAAATAATAGAAAAAGAGCTATAAATAATACTGTGTCATAAGCTAATCCTACTAGTGTACTTTGTGCTCAAAATTTCTAATACATCCCTTCAGCTGCACTGAATTCTTCACTTTTCTTGAGTTACCAAACGTTGTTGCAAAAAAATGAGGATTTCAGTGCGCTAGAAAGGGCGCGTTTACAAAGTACAAGCATAAAGTACAAAAACATTGAAGATAAAGCTCACCAAGTACCACATGTCCGTCCACAATGGATCATTTGGATCGAATTTCGGCTTGCGATTACGAGACTTTGAGATCTGGGACTCCTAAAAAAAGCAGATTATAGAATGGTTTGAAAAGTGATCTATCAAATCTTTAAACTTTGACTCTTTTAAAAATATTTACCTCCAAAACCTCGTTGTCGGCGAGATTTCGGCGTACTCGTCGAAAATCCCGTTTCACCCGTTTCTTCGCCACTTGTTGCTCCATCCATAATACCTGAAAGAAAAAGATTTTTCGGTTCTTGTAAAGTTTACGAGGTTTTTGAGAAATTTCTTGCTATTTCTTTCAGTTTTGCATAATTTTTATAAATAAAGCATAAGACCCAACCCTGTCTAATAATTATTCTAATAAAAGATGCACAAAAATGATGAAGCTCCGCTCTGAGAGGTAAAAAGTTGCACCAAATCGCGAGTTTTCAAAGAAAATCTCTGAAACTTTATCACAAAATGCACATTTCATAGGCACAGCTATATAACTAAACTAAATTGAATTCCATTAACTTATCGCTGAAAAAAATTAAAGATCTTTGAATTACGCATCATTTTATTTCAAAGTTTTTGGGTTTTCTCAGCGATAAATGAAGGGAATTCAATTTGGTTTATTTCTATAGCTGTGTCTATGAAAAGTGCATTTTGTGGTAAAGTTTCAGGGATTTTCCTTGAAAACTCGCGATTTGGTGCAACTTTTTACCTCTCAGCTGAATAAACGAGGCTTTATCATTTTTGTGCTTCTTTTATTGGAATAATTACGACATTTGCAAGTTAATATTTGTTTGAAAGAATAATTATGGTCAATAGAATAGATAGAAAAGCCAAAAAAAGCAGCTCGTTTGCTCGAAAAGCAACAAAAGCCACAAGTTTGTTCAAATTTCCTGATTGAGGGCAATCCGTGTCAAAAGAAATAACAAGAAATACCCCAAGTCAAACATAATAATCTTTTTTGTACGTAGGATCTGTTCCTTTTTCTATCAATCATAACTATTCTTTTAAAAAAATATCAACTTGTATCTAAAAATAAAGTAAAACTGAAGGAAATACCAAGAAATACCTTAAAAACCCCGTAAACTTTACAAAAACCGATTTTCCTTTTGGGTTAATTTATTTAACATGATGTTTTGAATTTACACTTGAACATAACAAAATATTGATCCGTACTTTATGCTCAAGTAAACGTGCTTTCTAGAAACTCATTAGTCAAGCAAGAAGCCAAAACAAAGATCAAGTGCGCGAGAATTTAAAGTCCATTCAAAATAACATCAAGCAGTCGTCACTAATGCTCACTAATGCTAATAATTGACAAAATTGATTGGACATTAGGGTAAGCTATGAGCTTAGAAGAACAGAAAATTCTAAACAAAGAGAAGCAAATCCTAGAAATCCTAAGCAAAGAGAAGCAAATCCTAGAAATCCTAAGCAAAGTATTGCTTAGGATTTCAAGGTTCAAAAAGACCCAAGACAGCATTGAAGTTTTGATATTTAGGGGTCTGGATATCTTATAAACTTTAGCTTATATCTTATAATCTTATAAACTGTTTGTTTTTGAATCCAAAACAAAACAAAACAAACCTCTGGCTCATGCGAGAGTCCATTTACGTAGAGAGATCGCGTCTTTCGGGTCGCTTTTCGGCGCTCGTTTGGCCGAAGGAAAATGAAATACTCGCCACCCTCGATTACCTGCAAAAGGAAAAGAAATTGAAAAATTTAATGATAACTCACCCGTCCTTTATTTTCAAATCCGTATCTTCTCGCGATTCGATCGGCTTCTTCAGTCGATCCACCGGCTATCCTCACCGCCCACTCATTTGTGTAGACTTTGCGGGGACCGCCTCGATCGCTCACAAGGGAATACTAAAGGAAATAATGTAGACATGATGTAGACAACAAAATACAATAAAACCATGATAAAAAGCTTTGAGATCATAATTAAGTGAGTCGGAAAAAATCTGAAGGAAAGATTACGGCAGTTTCTGCATTTTTTTAAGCTTTTTAGCACTTTAGCACTTTTTAGCAAACGCATTATAATAGTTACCGTAAATACTGTAATAGTACCCCACCCCCCTCGTACAGTCGCGTAGTCGCAAAAGGTTTTTAGTATTTCAAAGCGCCCGTGCTTTCAAAAAATGCGTCTTTGGTATCAAAAAATAGCTGAAATTCAGGGCTATTTTTTGATACCTGCATTGTAGCATAAACCAGTGTCGAGAAAAACTCGTTCAAAGCTAGACTACGCAACACTCCGCACCGTCATTATGGACGGTGGGGTACTATTACAGTATTTACGGTAGGTTCCAATACGGTTCCAATACGGTTCCTATTTTGATCTAATACGGTTCCAATGTATGTTCCTCACGAGTAATGCGTTTTTTAAAACGCACAATTGGGAAAAAATTACTGTATTTTTATTGCATTATTGCAAAATTATTGTAAAATTATTGCGAGCACGAACGCCGACTTATATCCGCCTTCTTTTAAAGATATTCAGCCTTTTAACTGGTTTGGTGGGAAATCCCCTGTCAATCTAAAGATATTCAATTTACTCGACGTGTAAAGAGGATTACTCGTAGTTGGTCGACCAAAAAAACGTCAATTAATCGAGTAAAAATTACTCTTGCAAACTTTATTCAAGTAATTACTTACTCGCGAGGAACACACTTCAACAGTTAGCGACTCTGAAATCAGTTCACTCACCTCATCACTACTCGCAGCACAAAGAGCTATCACAGATAGAAAGAGAGAGGCTTGGAAAAAGTAGAACAATCCTTTGAGTCTCCACAGAGAATCGCGGGGTTTTCTTCGAGAAGAATGATCCGATGGAGAGAGCGGTGAGGGATGGTTGGGCTGAAACTGTAGTTGGTTGGTTAAATTTGAACTTGAGACCTTTTTCCGAGAAAATCCTGGATTGGCGCTTTAAAGCGTGGTAAAACTACCGTACCCTTCCTAATTTGCGCGAAATTCCTTTTTTTCATTTCATTTTATTCTTATTCATTTTTTTTTCATTCTTGTTCATTTCTTTTCATTCTTGTTTATTTCATTTCATTCTTTTGCGTTTTTCTGATGATGGTCGCGTTTGTTTTTGCAGGAAACAAAGAGGATAAAGCTAAGCTAGCTAAGTTACGTTTTTAACAGCATTTTCTGTGACGGAAGCTTTGTTTGTAGTTTTTTTTAGACCCACTTGCTCCCTTACAGTACTAAATGCTAACAGTACTAAATGCTAACAGTAATTGATCGACTGATTTACTTAAAACGAGGTTTATTCTAAACAGTAATGCATAGGTCAAAGATCAAACGTTCAAAATCATCATTTTATCCGATTGTTGTTGGAAAATGTATCCAGAAAAATCGCAACGTACCCTGAGTGTCTGTATTGTGACATTATCGATCTCCAAACTTTCCCCAACATCATTTCTTTCACTTGATGTCGATGGGCGAATGTCCATCGATTTCTCATCGATCCACCGCCTCATAACGGGATCGTCGACTCTTTCCGGTGCATTCTAGAATCAAATTTGTACAGTACAGATATTGAAATGTTAGCTGAAGAGTAGTTGAACTTTAGAATCAGAATTGAGTCAATAATGGAGTCAGAATCAGGATTGAATCAATAATATTGTCAGAATCAGGATTGAAATACGGTAGAAAAGCTACAGTAAGACTTTTAGACTACAGTAAGGTGTACTTTGTAATCTCTTGTAAACGCATCCCTCTGGCGCACATATTTCTTCAATTTTCTCTGCCGTAACGGGAAAAATGAAGAATTCAGTACATCAGAAAATGCTTTTACAATTTTTAAGCCAAAGTACTAGAGAAATCCAAGACTTTTAAGAAAAAAAGATCCAAGAATGACATTCCAAAGCTTTATTTAAATGAAAATGATGCATTGATGTATTTAAATGTAAATACTAGCATTAAAAAATGAGTTTCCGATTGCATTTCGAAGATTTTTTTACCAGAAAACTCGGCAAAGTATGGGTATTTTTTGAAAAGCAAGAGTCTGAGCTTGACTTCAAAGCTGTAAGCTGTAATGAAATCTTTTCAATCATGAGAAAACTGACTCATTTTGATAATTGGTTTTGAATATTGATTTTGAATAGAAATAGCTATCAGAAATCAGATTTGTTTCAAATTTGTTAAAATAAAGCGATTAAAGTAAAGCGATTAAAGTAAAGTGATTTCTAAAAGTTCCCATTTCTCATGAGTAAAGTGATTTCTAAGAAGTCTGCTAGCAGCTACCGTACCCCGGCTGTGGCGAATTGCCACTGCTCTGCAGTTAATCAAAAATTCAATACAAGTTAAAGTTCAAAGTTGGTGGATAAACTACCGTAATCAGTCACTAAATGATATTCAGCTGTCCGGTTGTTGTAGCTTGTATGCTTAAAAAACCCATTATTTAAGCTTTGCTTTTGAGTGAGTTTGTTGTTCTCCTTTTTTGTGCTTTATCATTCTTTTTTCACATGTTGATTTAATTGTGATAGTGCCAAGTTGCTCTAGTTTGAGCGAAGTTGCCCTAACAAGGGAAAGTTGGATAAATTATTACGTTTTCAAGAAGACCACCATTGAACCACAACGAGACACGGTCTCACAAGAAATTATATAGATCAAAGCATCACCATATATTTCTTACACCGGCCAAAGCTACAGTAGACTTGTCTAGTTGTTTTACTCCAACGAACACAACGATCATAACATTTCTACATTTCTACATTCTAACAATGAGTTATTTAAAAGCTTGGTACAATTATTAACTGTTAAACAAACCTTACAAGCTTTTATTAAACAAGCTTTTTCAGCACACTTTTAGTAGAGAAAGATAGTAGAAAAGTACAATAAAGAAATACAAAAGAAGATTTAAGAAAAGAAATACAAAAGAAGTACAATAAAGAAATACAAAAGAAGATTTAGAAAAGATTCAAAAAGAAAAACAAAAGAAGAAGAAGAAAAAGAAGAAGAAAAAGAAGAAGAACAAAAACAAGAAGAAACAAAAGAAGATTTGAACGGAATTTCTGCATATTTCTATTTCAAAATCATTTGAAATGAGAATTTTCATTAGAAAATACACATTTTTTTTTTCTATTAAATCTTCTCGGGAGTGAATCTCCACAAATCGAATTCAAATTTCCGGTTTAGATCATCTAAGAAGAAAAAAAGAAGGGAAAAAGTGGAAATTTCCTGGGATTTATGATTTCTAAAGATTTTTAAAGATTTCTAAAGCTTTTTGAAGAGATGAAGTGTCAGAATGACTGAAAATCGAATGAGAGGATCAATTTTGTGAAATAGAAATGCTTTGGGAATAGGTTTTCTTTGAGATAGATATTCAGAGATGAATCGGGAAAAATTAAGAATTCAGTACATCAGAAAGTGCTTTTACAATTTTCAGCTGGCTAAAACGTAACGAGTTTCTAAAAACTGCCGTAAACTGTCGTCATTGTAAACTACCGTCATTGTAAACTACCGTCATTGTAAACTACAGTCATTACCAACTACCATAATCGTAATCTTCTTGCGCTCTAAACCCTGTCCACTTTCTCTTTCTATCTTACGAAACAGTGAATAAAAAGTGAAAGAGTTCAATCACTTTAGATTTAGATTTAGATTTAGATTTAGAGTTAGATTTAGCTGAGGATTGTCCTCTCAAAATTGACCTTAAACTTACAATAATTACGACAATTGCAAGAAAAAGTAAATCCAAACTTTCAAATGAACTTTTTATGTAAAGTTCATTGTAAAGTTTGATTTGTTATAAGTAAAGGATTTTTTGAAGGAATGATGATGGAAAGGCGTCATAATGAGCACTAAATCCGATGATCCGATCATTTTTAAGGAGAGGAAAAGAAAAGAAATGAAAAAACAAAAGCTTTTTCTTTGTCCGGGAAAGAAAATTTTGAGAAAAAGACATTAAAATAAGAAGATTTTGAAAGGATTATGAGGGAGGGGAAAATTTTGGGGAAATCAGAAGAAGAGGAGAAGAAGAAGAAGAGAAGAAGAAGAAGAGAAGAAGAAGAAGAGAAGAAGAAGAGAAGAAGAAGAAGAGAAGAAGAGGAGAAGAAGAAGAGAAGAAGAAGAAGATGGGTAAAAATAAGGTTTTACAAATTATAACAAAACATTTGACTTTTCAGAATTCTCCTCTTTCAGAATTCAGAATTCTTTAAATTTCGAGTTAGATTACTGTACTTTTCTTTCTTTCTTTGATCAACTTCGGTTCTTTGTGATCGGATAATTGATGACTGATGATTAGCCAAAAGAAAACAGATTTTAGCACGTAGTTCTTGTGGAAGTACACTGAGTACTCGAGCTGGACTGGACTTATGATTGTAACTAAGCTTGACAATAGACAATTTAAAGAGGCTTGACAATAGCCAATGTAACTAAGCTTTACAAACCTAATTGATAAAGTTCATTGGCAAAATACGCTAGAGGAAAATCTCATTGAACATTCTCGCATTGGCGTTGAGTATCCTTTGTGTTTGCTATGTAAACACACCTTTTTGGCACACTAAATTCTTCATTTTCTTGCAGGAAAGCCGAAAAAGGAAGAAACGGTTGTACCAGAAAGAGTTTGTTTACAGATTTAAGCACAAAGTACGGAACGAAAGAAAAGTTAAGCGAAGAGATGAAGAGAAAAGGATGTAAAGCTGTAAAAAGCTGTAAAACCTGTAAAACCATAATCGAAACGCTAAGCCTAATGAAAAGCTATGCAAATAGATTGTGCTTATTGTCAATGTCATTGCTTATTGTCAATCCAATGCAACAGCCAATGCACCAGCCAATGCACCAGCCAATGCACAATCCAATGCACCAGCCAATGCACCAGCCAATGCACCAGCCAATGCACCAGCCAATGCCAATACAGCCAATGCACCAGCCAATGCACCAGCCAATGCACCAGCCAATGCACCAGCCAATGCACCAGCCAATGCACCAGCCAATGCACAATCCAATGCACAATCCAATGCACAACCCAAAGCACAACCCAATGCACAACCCAAAGCAACAAGTTCATTCTGTAAACAATCGGCGGGGGGGAAAACATTCAGTAATCTTTCTTTCTTTTGGCTCATCGGCGCTTATCAAACATTTGCTCAAAATGAGAAATTTTCTCTTCACACACAAAAAAGGATTCTGATGAGCTCTAAAAACTTATCACAAGACAAAATAAACGGAAAATTTCTGCTTCTCAACTTAACCAATCGGAAATGATCTTAAAAAAAACAACGGAAATGATTTTTGATTGAAATCTTATGATTTTGAAATCAAAATTGATTTAGAAAGTCGAAAGTTCCGTCGAAAGTTAAGTTTTTGTTGCTCAAATAATTGCTCACAGATTATTTGCATAGGATTTTAAGAAGGCAACTTGGCCAAAGGGCTAAAGGCCAAAGATGGCTGAAAATTCTGTTATTTAAAAGAAAGATTTGATTTTCCACATGACTAACTTTGAATAAAGAAAGTTTTTTGCAATTATAAAGTCAAAGCAGTTCTAAAAGCATTCAAAAAAACAAGGATTATAAGAAAATAGGTTAATTTTAGATATTTTGAATATAAAGCCATCGGAATTGAGGAATTCAGCGCGTCAGAAAGTGGGTGTTTACGAGAGAGTACAGAGTAATGGGCAGGGATAAGCTTGGCCTAAAAGTACTAGTTACAGACAAGAGCCGGGACTTGGCTTGGTCTACAAGGCTTGGGCTTGGTCTACAAAGCTTGTTCTTGGTCTACAAAGCTTGTTCTTGGTCTACAAAGCTTGGGCTTGGTCTACAAAGCTTGGGCTTGGTCCTGGTCCCTTGAACCTTTGGAACAGACCAAGCTGAGCTGGAGCTGGTCTCTTGCCTTGCCTTGCATCGTCTAACCTAGCTTACCTGCCCTGCTCTTGCTTAGCGAGTCGTCTTATATACACGCCGCCTTATATACACGTCGTCTTATACACGTGCCGCTCTTTACTCCTTCTCAAGATATTCAGCCGTTTAACTGGTTTAGTGGCAAATTGAGCTAAATGTGCTGAAATTTCAAAAATAATGTCCCTAATGTCTTTTGAAGTGAGCTACAATCGATTGTCACTGCAATTTCGAGGTTAACATGTGTTTTAGAAACAAGGAAAATAATTGTGAAGATGGCAGAGAGGGGACAATTGGGATGGAAGAAAGGGTAACACAAGAAAAGGACTCTTTCCTTCCTCAACGCTCCTCAATTGGACACAATAAAACACCCTCTTTTCAAACCCCAACAACACAACTAGAGAAATTTGTCAAATAAAATAAATATATATCAAATAAAATCTCCGTCAAACTTTTGGTGAAACAAAAAGGAAATGACCCTCAAAACCAGAAACTAAACCAAAATACAAGATTTTTTTGTTTTAGCACTTTTTATTTGGCTCAGCCGGTTTCTCTAAAATCGTGCCCTTAAAAATTCTAAGTTAAAATCGAGGCCTCAACGTGGCCCTTTTTGAGGCGTAAGCAGTTATTAAGTCGCCTGC